AATGCATGAAGTGTACATGTAGCATCATCCTATTGAAGAAGTCAGTTCATTTCTTGATGGAATTCGTGTCAAGGTGGAGATTGTTAGAATTTGGGCGTGACTCGAATTTCTTGTTGAAGTAATTGAAAAATTCTAATTGAAGTGCATATCAAGAAAAATTCAATTTGGAATGCTATTGGAGTCCTATGTCACGTTGAAGTTTTATTTTGGAAGCCCACTGGGAGTTGTAATTTGTTTTGGACTTGATGTTTTAGTATCATATTTCATCAACAACTCTACTAGGAAGGTTTGGATATCCCCTACATGTTTCCTATAAATACGAGATTCTTCTATACAATTTATGGTGTGAGAAAATAGATTACTAGAATGAAATGATCTATTATAATTTTTCTTTTTTCTCAATTATTCTTAAATCAATAAAATCTCTCAATTCATCTACCATATTTTTGTCTTTATTATTCTTTGCTTGATCATATACTTCATTATTATTTGCCATATAACTCCAACATCTCAATCCGATAATTTGTTTCACAACAATGTGTAAATAATAAGTTAGTAGTAAATTATGGATCCTACAATATGTATGAATAAAAAATATGTTCAATCAACTTTGATTCTCATTATTGTAGAATGAGAATGAAAAATATAATTGTTATTGGGCACCACATAAGAAATAAAAATTCAAAAAATTGATAGCTTGATGTGATGGATAACGGTCATATTTTTCATTTTTATGGATGAAAAATAAAAAACAAACGGAAGCTTAATTATAATAAGTTTTGCCAACATGCCGTTAATAACTACCTATTGATACGAACAAATTTGAGCAGGTTTTTTAAAAATATCTTGTTGCCTTCTTACATATTAGACATGCATCAATCATTACTCTGTATGTGTTGCTGCCCTATTTGAACCTCATTTTTGAGAAAAAAATAAGCGTGAAATAATGTTTTTTTTTTAGGAGAACTCATGGTTAAAAAATAGGAAAGAACTCGTGTAAAATTATTTTATGCTAAAATGTGTTGTTAAAAATGATTTTTTTAAAGGGAAAATGGAGATAAGGCTTTTCGTTAAGTTTTATGTTTTAATTCTTTAATAATATAATTTTTGTTACTTTTTTAGTCCCCGTTTAACAATTATTATTTGAAAACTCTTTTTTCAAGATACTCATTTTCGAAAACATATTAGCATAATAAAATATTTTGTACGTAAATTTAAAGTTTTTTCCTACTTTTTAACAACATATTTTCCTAAAAATTACTATTCGAAACATTATTTTGTCATTAAACTTGAGCTTAATAACCTTTTTCAAAACAATTATACTTGGTGTACACTGTTGTCCATATTCATCAACATGGCAAATTGTGATTTGACAACTAAAAAAAAAACTATTTTTCCATTCAATTAAATTTCGACAATCATGCATGTTGACCACCGAAAATGAGCCAACAGATGTCGAGTCCACTCACGGCAAGTCAAGTATGATTCCAGAGCATTTATACCAGAATGATGACCGTAGCACGAGAAGTATGAACGCGAGAGATACGTAGCGGCTAGAGACAATGTTGTTCGAGCTCCGACGAACGGAACAAAGCGATCTCGCTAACATCGATCGCTCGACTGAAATTAAACTCAACTATATAATCACAAACGTGAATAAGTGGAATGATAGATATGATGTGTATTCAAGTTGCTATATCGTATACAAGAATTTTTCACTCATGAACATGCCCAAGAGATCGAAAATAAACTCAAGTGATTATGTATTTTCAGTATAAGTTTTTCTTCTTTTTTCAATTCATAATCCAACCCCTTCTAAATTACACAAAGAACCTATTTATACTATTTTGGTCGATGTGGTGATCGTTGGATCAAAACCACGTGACATCATCTTCCCAATAGAGATGTCACATCACTATCTATTCATACAATTAATACATTGATAAGGGGTTAGCCGTCCTATACAGTAAACGACACGCTGACAAACTTTTATTATAAGTGTTACATTAATAACTTTACAGAGATCTTCGAATCTTCTATGTGGAACAGCCTCAGCTACGAGCTTTGGATGAATTGAGAGCCTCGGATGAGTCTTCGAGGTATTTCTCTAAGAGGAAAACCTCGACTTCTTTCCTAGCTTTCCTAGGCAGCTCCATCTTTGAAGAAGTACCTCAGTCTGGATTTCGTCGTACAGTGTAAGGACTTCGGCTATTGCGGAGGACCTCGACGTGTTTGCCTTCTTTGTACGTTTGACCTCCGAGCCTCCTTTTGACTTTCTTGTTGACTCTCTGCCCACGTGCGTGCTACGTTGCATTGTTTCACTGAACCTCAGAGGTGAGGAGTAACAATGCAAGTGCAAGCATGACAAACAAATGACGGTCCTTCTCAAAAAGGAGAATTCTGTGTGGCCATGTTCGTGAAAGGGGACCAACTGCCCCCTGTGAATCTGTGATAGGTGGGGGCATTTCTCTTTTAAAAATATATCCCTGCTGAAGGAAGAGAGAGATTTGTCAACAATCAAACAGGAAAATTTAGCATTTTATCCCATCCTTAAATTAATTTTAGAGAAAATAAATGAGAGATAAGGTACGAATGCTTTAACTTGCCATCGGATTGGATAAACTATATTTAATTGCTTTTTTTTTTTTGTGTAATGGGGATAATCAGCATAAAGCTATTATTACTTCGCAAGTTATTTTTAAATAAGTAATTGTTTTAGTTAGAGAATTAAGTCATTTTATTCAGCTTAGATATTTTTAAAGTACTAATTGACATGGACTTGGTTCGCGTTTTAGTAGTTAACCGAACAAAATAAAAGTTGAAGTTTTCAATTTCTTTCTATTTAATTGCAGTATTCAAATTTGATTTAACGAGTTTTCAAATTAAATTATCGTCATTCACTTGGTGTCAACAACATCTTAATTTTGATTGGTTCTTACTTGTTAGTATTTAGTATTTCAATCAACGTGCAATGATTAATCCATTATTGGATAAACATGGGACATTCACAAAAAAAA